TCTTATACTCATTTCCTGCTTTGTCTCCTGTGTCACACAGCTGCCTTCGTTTCCTCTTACTATTGTTGTGACCAAGCCACTTTTCCTACTTTCTCAAGAAGTTTTTTCTGTCTGCAGTGCCAAAGTGTCTACAGGTCTTTCCGATGTCTCTTAGGTACTTAAGGTTTCCATGGGGGCTTTTTTGTCTCTAGCAAAGTGTAAGCATTTTTATGTGATTATAAAAATTCAAAGTGCTTTTCAAAATCTAACTACTGGCATATTTGCATATGTTAAAAAATCAAATTTTCAAGTGAAATTTTAAAATAAAATTTTAAAGTGAAAGAATACCTTACCATAGAGCTTAAGCAATAACTGAAATAGACATTTTACATCTATTTACAAAAAAACTCAAAACAAAACCTAGAGGTAAGGATAAAGAGCTTTATTTTTTATTACTTGTCTCTGTTATTGTTATCTTTACTATACTAGAATTAGGGGAAGAAACCTGTACATGTCTGCTTTAAAAGCAATTGCCCTGGGATACATCAATGCTTTTTCCTAACATCAATTATTAATTGTAAAATATCTTGCGAAGAGGATTAAGCATGTAATGTTTACTTCTGGTCTGTGACTGAAAAAATTAATTTTTATAGGGAACCTGCATTAAGGCATATTGTTATCTCTTCTACAGGTACTGGTGCTCTAAGGAGTTGTCCTGCATTAATTGATTCAAATTCATTATTTGGTCTTTTAGCAGTTTGTTTGCTTATATGCTTCATGTCTGGTACCTTTAATACAGTGTCTTCTTAGCCAGACCTTTGCTGTCTTCTTTCATCACAGTAAGTTATTCTGTGTCCTCTGCCTTAGCTTTAAATTCACAACTACAATTTGCTTTCTCAACTCCCTCTGCATTCCTGTGGTCTGAAAAAGACAGGGAAATCTGCAAAACAAACAAAATGGATCAGGGAAAGACAGAAATGTAACGTAAATTTCAGATCAGAATTTTAATTGCAAAATTGAAGCTAGCAAAAGAAAATATATTGCAATATAAGGAAAAGAAAACAATGCAGGTACCACTTCTTATGTTTCTATGAAGATTAATGTAAGCATGTAATGTATTATTGGGGAATGGGTATATGAAGGAGATAAACACCAAAAAGAAGAGTAAGTTTCTAGGAAACTGTCTTAATTTGAAGATTTTACTTATATATAGGCATATTTTATCATTATTTCACTGTGCTAATGTAGCAGTCTACTCTCCTAGTGCTGCACAAGTACTCTCCTTCAAAACAGGGTGAGAACATACTGTGTGCCTTTGGAAAAATCCACATATACAAACCGAAGATATCTGTCACTCTATACATAGAACTGTAGCAGACTGAGATACTTGGAATTCTTTGGAGGCTTTTTTATGGAAAAAAAATTAAATAGATGCAGATTCTGGAAAGAATAGTTGGATATACCTCAAGGTAATGCTGTGAAAGCTATCAGCTTTCAACAATAGGATAATGTGAAATTTTATGGTCAGAGATGGGTGTTTTAGATCCCTGTTAGGAAGTAGTCTCATGGCCAGGCTATTCTATTTTTCTCTCTTTGGTAATGCTTGTGCAAGCCTTTGTAGCATCATCAGTGAAGCAGCATACACAGCTGCAGTGGGTCAAGCACTGGGTTAGCAACCTCATGCTGCTGTGTTAGCTGACAGCTGTGCACTAAGAAACTAAAGCTCAGGGTAGCATCATGCAGCTGTTCTGTCCTAGAGAAGCAGATCATTGTCTGCAGAGCTGTGGGTTGCTCACATCACAGAATTCCAATACCCATGGCCCCATCAGGATATTCACAGCACAATCCTGCATCCCCTCTCGGGCAAGCAGATGAAGAAGCAATGTACAGAAGATGAGAGGAAAATTGAAGAAGTTTGTAGGCCACTGCCTTAAACTTTGCAGATTTCATTCATGTGTTTATAAGAGGGTCCTAAGACTGGTAATTCATCTTCTTCCAAGTTCTCATTAGATGTGCTGTCAGTAGCAGTTACTGGCAGAGCAGGACCTAGTTGCAGCTTGGGGTGGGGTTTTTTTTTTTTGACATCTCAGATTTGAGCAGATGTTGTAACCTGTTTCCTGGTAGATAAGCTCTCATATTGCAGAGCTACTGTCTGCCATTTGGTGTAAGTTGTCCTTGGGAGTGAGCCACATATTGAGTATATCACAGATTGAATTTGTTCATCAGTTATGTGGTGAAAGCAATTGCAAAGCATTTTAAAAGGAAGGAAAAGTGTATATACTGGTTGCTGTCTTTGCTTTCACATTTCCTGAAGTCCAGAAGCATGGGGTTTGGGGTTTCTGTGTGTTTGTTTGCTTTTTACATAGTACAATTTGTTTTGTCCTAACACAAATGCATAGGCAAAGTCCTGCTCTTTGGCATGTTCTAGGCCTATCATTGCTGTTCACAGAGGCTATAACCTCTAGTGTTTGTTATCACCAAACTGACTCAGTGGTCTCTCAGCCTCTGTTTTAAGCTCAGAACCTCACCTGTTGTGGTTTGTCTGGTAGCCTCTCATGGGTCTCTTCCAAGTACTTGTCTCTTCTTCCACTCATATAAATTTGTTGCATCTGCATTATCCTGCTAAGGAGTTCCAAAAATGTACTAACCTGTGTGTGAAATCCATCTTCTTTCTCAGAGGGAGAATGCTGTTGTATCAGTCGTTAGGATTTTGCTTTCTTAGCTGTCGTTTGAAAAGTTAGTTTGGAGATACAAACTGCCTAAAGTAGTAGCCACACGTGCCCTTTGGCAATTTGTGCAGTCACGTGCATTCACTTCACTGCTTGTTGTTTGAAGTAAAAAGCAAGAGGGACACCTAGACTGTTCAGACCAATTAATGTATGACAGTCAAAGCAGAACTGCAAGAGGGAGACTGCAAGAAAGATGGGAGATTGTTTGCGAGGGTATATAGTGATAGAACGAGCAAGAATGGATTCAAACTGGAGTAGGTTTAGATCAGATGTTAGGAAAAAATTCTTTACTGTTAGAGTGGTGTGGTACTCTAATAGGTTGCTAAGAGAATTTGTGGATGTTCCATCCCTGGAGATGTTCAAGGACAGGTTGGAGGCTCTGGTATAGTGAAAGGTGTTCCAGTCCATGGTAAGGGGAGTTGGAAATAGCTGAGCTTTAAGGTCCATTCCAATCCAAGCACATCTATGCTTCTGTAATTGTACTATTCCTTCTTGAAAACACTTGAATCCACAATTCATATTCAAATTAATTTGTCAGAACAATAAATGTGTCAAGGCATTAAGTTCCTAATGATTTAGCATTAAGTGAAGGGGAAGTGAAAACAGAACATTCAGCTCTTGATCTTTTCCCATCAATGTGCAAGTAGCTCTGAACTGGCTGTTGGCTGTGGTCTACACCATAAATAAACAGGGAAAAATCACTGAAGGGTCTTGAGATATATAGGATTTAGTCCAAGACGATATGACATATCCATAGGAAGAGCTTTTTTTTTTTTGGTAATGATTGACATATTTGTGTTAAAAGTCACCTCTCTAGTGTATGGGTTTATTGTATAGCAAACAGTATTCTGTTTTCTGTCCTCGAGGAAAACAGCACTTGCCTCCTGGTTTGTCTGTGTGATGTCTGGAAATTGAAGAACTAGGGGAAGTTGCTTTGGATTTTTGCACTGAGTTGGTACAAAGCTGGAAACAAAGCCCTCTCTTCTACCGCAGCCTTCAATCTTGGATTTCTCTCTGAAACATCATTTTCAAGCAATAGGTCTTTTGTGACCAGCTTATTTCAGAACCCCTTTATCAAACAGGCTTACAGAGGTACAGGACTTTATATACTGCTTTGCCACCTCATAGTTGTGATATCAGTGGCTACAGAGAAGCAGTTAATTCAAACATTGTCTTCCATATCTTATTTTCGTATGAAGATTTTGTGCTGCATTTATTGATTTAGAATGGTAAAAAGTCATGACTAAGGACATTGAGAACTGCCAGACTGGACATATTCTGGGTTTTGATTTCTTTCTGATAATGCCTAGTACTATGTGCATTAGATAAATGGGTCTAAAATCTTTATTGATTAGGCTATGTTTAAAGATGACAATACTTAGTTGTTCCTTCCTAATGTTTATTAGAAGGTGTAATTCTTACATGCAGTATTTTGAGACAGATAGCCCGTGGGTTATCTGTTTAAAATAAAATAGTTGGAATTTTTATATATGTGCAGTAAATAAAAGTGGGAAAAAAATATTCCTGCATACATCCAGTTCTGTTCAAGCCTTGTCAAGCTTTGACAGGATTACAAAAGTCACCACCACTAAATATTTGTCTATGAATTTAGTAAGAAGTGTTCCCTCTTAACAGCTTCAGTTTGCCTTTGCTAGACTCCTGTTTTACTCCCATGTACATAGGAAACTCCAATTGCTTTGTAAATTGTGGGAAAGGAGATTCTGTGTGAAGTGAATGTTGCATAGCAGGAAGAACAGATAAGCATATGTATTTGAGGAGTCCCATAAACAATTTGAGAGAAAAGTGTACCTGTATGTGTTTTTTGTCTATCTTTTTATAAGCTTCACTGTTTAGAATTAATTAGAATAACAAATTTGTTTACTTTGGTGCAAAGTTTCATCTCCTTTTTCAAGAAAAAGAATTCCCTAACTTTTCAAAATAAATTTTATATCATTTACTATCAAAGAAAGGTATGTTTAGCTGCTGTTTCATTTTTCTCTTTCTAAGAGTACTTAGGAAGAGAAAGCCTCATCCTATAAGCCAGAAGGCTGGGTGACTTGCTGTTTCATCTGCTGGCAGAGAGCTGGAAGTCCTGGGGATTCTTTAGTCAGATGAAAGGTCATAATTCATTCCTTTTGAGCTTTCGCAGAATTAATTGAAGTAGAAGCTACAGGACTCCATTCACAAGCCAGAGAAATAGATTAAAAATGTATTGATGTACCTGAAAAATTTTTCCCCAGAAATATTTTGACTAAGGTGATGGGGGAAAAAAGCTTATAGTAGGATCTATTTTTAGAATTAAATGTACTTACCTAATATATAAAAATTCATCTGTATATGGATATTTTTTATCTGCTCTCACATAAATGTGTAAGAGGGAGCACCATGAAACTTTGGTATTTCCAAGGTAAAGGCAGATGTCTTCCCCTCCTATCCCTTTTCTCTACCTGGGAACTTCTACAAAAGTTGATATAAATAAAAATGCTTTTCAGTTAATTTAATCTGAATTGTAGGCAGCCCAAAAACTTCACTCATTTTGATGGTAAATTCAGTATTCTCAATGTGTCAGATTTGTGTACCCACAGTGCATAACAGTCAAAGAATTGGCAGAGGAAGAAACTGCAGTTTTGGCAACTAGGTAAGGGGCTTTTTGTACCCAGTGAGGCATGGGGAGACAGTTTGGATTTCAACACAGGCAGAAAACATTCTGACCACATGCTTACACGATCAACAATGAAGCAACAAAATATTGACAAGCCACTACTGTATTTTGATGCATGTAACCTAGAGGTTATCAGTTTAAAAACAAAACTGCAATTCAGCAGCACTGTAAGAATCTGGATATGCACAGATAATACAAGGGGAAGTTTATTCTAGGACCTGTCTCCTTCAGAGTTTCACAGTGTCTGATTTCCCCATAGCCTACATCCTTTCCCATAGTTTGCTCTCACCATGCCACTAGTCCCTCAGTTTCAGATTTGTGTATGCTGTCTGAGTACAGAATGTATAAAATAGAAGATGGTATTATCTTCGGCTTTCAGAGTTAATTGCTCATTAGAACTAGGCTTTCTTAGGAAAGAAAATACGATACAGGATATTTGGTTTTGTGGTGAATTTTTGGGATTCTTTTGCCCTAGGATGTGATGTAATTCTGTAAACTTAAAAGCAAAAAGCTTTCAACATTTGTCCTCTGAAGTCTCTGAGGAGCACATATAATGCCACATTTTGCAGCATCATCTAGGGCTTCAGAAGTGTAAAAATTTTGATCTAATGTGTAGTATGTAGAAGTATTTTAATGTTCATATTGTCAGATGAGCACCACATTTAAATGTGTAGCTACAGTCCATGGAGCTTGGAATTTCAGACATTGTTTCTATTATCCTTTGAATAGAAACAGTCAAAGAATGGATCTGGAAGCCGGCAGGAATTTGACATCTGAGCAAAAAATAAAGTGTGTTTAGCTCCCTTATTTTTCTTTCTTTGTGAGAAATTGATAGGATGACTTTTGATTTTTTTCTAATTTTAAAGAATCACTTTTTCCTCATTTAATTCTTATTTCTGTGCAGTAGTGAAATGCCAGCTTTTTCTACTCTTTCTGATATTTTCACAAGCGAAGTCTTTGAGTCTTCATTTCACTAGCTTGAAGTCTTCAGCTAAATGACACTAAACCAAACCCATTTATACACTATTTTGTCACTGAATTTGCTATCATTACTTCAGAAGTATGGCACCCAGAGGCACTGAGTCTTGGCTAACATATCTTCAGGTATTTATTCACTATTCTAGTATTGACTCTTCCCTTCCAACAAATTGTGCCTATAACGTTGCAGTTTTGTCTAATGGAACAAGAAGATAGGGCTTCGATTTTGAGGAGCAGAGAAATGAGGGAAAGGGTGGGCATAGGATCAAATCATAATGATGTAGTGGTTTTCTTCAGTAAACTAATCAATCTCAGTAACATTTTCTAGACTTTGTGTTGCCAGCATTGTCTTTCATCGAACCTACCATGGCAGGTGGGGCATTTTACTGGCTGCTGGAAAAGCTAAAGATGAGTGAAAAACCAGAAGGAATGAGTTCTCGTCTTCCTGGATAGGGCCAGAATTTAGTGTTGGTCTATAGATTCATGTCATCTAGGAATCACACCCTATAATCTGTTGTTCTAATCATATAAATCTGAAAAGTTTTTCTCTGCAGTCTCATTTTAGACAAAAGCATGAAATGGACCCTAGGATCAGTTTAACATTTGAATATGATGGGCTTTACTCAACATGGCATTTTTCAAGTGGGAAGCCTGTAATATGTGTCTAAAGGTAGATTGAGCAATTTAATTTACTGAAAGCTGAAGAATTGACCTGTGCTCCCTAATACCTATTTGCATATTCTTAACAATGGTGCTTAGCAGATAGCTTACACCTTTTTCTTTAAAGAGAAAGCTTACTTGCATTTATCACATAGTAAGAGCATGCATGAAGTAGTTGCTGTTGAGTATCTGATGAATATCTGTGAGAAATTCATGTCCTCTCTTATTTTGCAGTTTATGCATATCTCTTTGTATTACAAGGCCTAGCTCCTTTTAATTAACCACACTACTGGCAAAAGATAAGAAATGTTCTCTTTTTACATTTTTTTTCAGAGGTTGGAAACGTTATTTATGAAAAAAACGATTGACATACTGTAACTGTGCAAGTTTAAATAGAGCAGTGTATACTGGCCAGTCAGAATATTGCAGTCATTGACAGAGGAGAAAGACGTGATCACAGCTGCTCCAGCATGCAGTCCTTGATGCTCTGAGAGGTTATTTTGTGGTTATATCGACCATATAACCACATGTTAGACTCCAATTAACCATTCCTCCTGGAGTGCTCCGATATACCCAGCTGCCTCTGCAGCACTCACTCCCCACAGTCAAATATTTCTGCATTTCACAGTGTACCCACTTTTATCCAGATTTAACTAGAAGCCTGGATTGTGTATATAAATGCATCTCACAGTTCCTTGATCAACGTGCTATGTCTGTTTTAATGATGAAGCAGCTGAGGTGTGCTGATCAGTGTTCTTAAAGATTATAAAATGGTTTTCAGTAAATCACTGGGGTTTTTTCCCTTTCTTGGTCATTTATAGACTCTGTATATCTGGATTTTTAGACAAAGTATTGTTTCCAGAACAGTCTGTGTTTTGCTTCTATAAAAGGAATTGGTTTTGATGATTTTTGAATTACCAGATCTTCCTAGCTTTGATTTTTTTGGCAGGTCTGGAGAAAAATTGTAGTTGGCATAGAAGTTGAGAGTGTCAATAGTAAAGCACAAGGTGAAGAGAGTGAAATCAGCTATTAAAAATATTTATGGATGAAGGAATCTCTTGACTTCACACCTTAGTATTGCAGATTTGGAAAGTGCTTGTCTGAACTTCAAGGTCTTGGTCTGCCATTTTGGGAGACAAGGAGTTAGTTGGGGGTGGAAAGACTGGAGCTTGTATTCCTTCTGCTCTGTTACCCATTGCTATCTTCATGGATCTGACACTCTGTTTATCTGACAGTGCACTCAGTACTGCTTCGCCAGGGAAAATTGCACAAAACAAGCCTAGTGCATCAGCATTTTCATTGTGTATTAAGCTGAGCCTCCCTTCACATGGTCACATCCCCTTTTTAATCTGGGATTCCATGTCCCTTTCCCAGTCCAGCCTGTTTCTGTGGTGTCTATTGCTGGTCTCCCTGAATTTCTGTTTCTGTGGTTTGAGTGTTTTTTGTGTGGCTGAGAGTTAAGACCTGCAGGACTTTTGGAAGTGGTGTTGTTTAGGGGTTAGTACATTGATTTAGTGTTAGGAGTTTGTCACAGACTGAGGTGATGGCCGCGTTCAAGTTGGATTTTCTCCCAGAGATGATGGTGGACCATTGCTCCTTGAATGCAAGCCCTGTGTGAGTATTTTCTCTTCATGTCTAAGTTATAGCTAAAATGATAATTGGAATTGCTGTCTCAAGCCCCTGCTGTCTGTTGGAACAGGGGGACAGGAAGGAGAGATAGGAGAGCTTGCAGTTTGTTTTCTTGAAGAAATCCTAATGGTCATGGAAGATTGATGTTGGTTTCTAGATGGGGGGAAAATGGTCTGATAACTGTGGCAATAAGGACTAAGGAGGAATAAAGTTGCTTGATTGTATTGTTTATAGTATGCTACAGGTGCTGATATTATAAAATGGGTTACTGAAATCACTTGTGGGAAGAACTGTTTCTGTTCTTCCCTATTAATGACTCCAGACTAAACCTTTTAATTAGGAATATACTATTCAGTGAATACTATTGAGGTCATGTTAAGAGCTGCCCAGTTAACAGGACCCATGTTGTGCTCTTGAAGCTACCCATGGAAGGCAGGGTGGAAAATTGTAATTGGAGAGGCTAAACAGTTTATAATTGTTCTTAACTGAAATGAAAAGAGGTCGTTTACATCTTTGTAAAAGATGTTGTTTCTGCTGGCTATTTGGGGAGGTGCTGACCCTTTCTGAGTGGAAAGGTGGAGAGGAGGAAAGGATTTATGATGATTCCATTCCCTTCCCTTCTAGTAAGAAGCTTTATTGTTTTTGAGGTCTGTTCATACAGGTGTAAAATTATGAGCTTTCCCTGACATAAGTTTTTCCTTAGGCTCTTAACCGCAGTGTATTGATGGGAAAAAGTACTAAACAGTACCGGGCTTGGATTTTTTTTTTTTTTTTAATTCTTTTCTGGGGGGGTGGGGAATACGATTTCAGATGGATAGTGAGAGGAATACTGTTTACTAACATGTGCAGTTAATAAGCCACTCAAACTATCTTCAAAGGAACAAAGCAGAGATGAAGAGAACTGACTACTCTGGAAGAAGACCACCTGTATTCTTCAATAAAGAGTTTGAGGGTGGGGGGAATAATTGTGTAGTTGCTGTTCCACTCCCCATGTCCTTTCTAGACTATGCAGAGATGGGTCAGCAATTTTAACCAACTAATCACTATAGCTACAATAGGATGTCGTTGCAGTCAGACTCCTGCAGGGAGGGGTGCTCTGGTGTAGCAGGCTGGGAGTACTGATAACAAACATCACACTGCCCCTAACAAATAATGAGGAGTGATACAGTGAGCAGTGTAGGACTTGTCACCTGGCTGGGTGGAGCATAACACAACTTCTGTTAATAGAGTGCAAACTGCTCTTAAGGCTAGACAGAATGCCTTGAAACCTATTGAGGATTCCCATATTCAAAACTTTGATGTAGTCTAAGTGACTTTTTTTCTGTGTTAGAATCTTGACATTATTGAACCCGATTCAGTCTGACTAACTGGATTGTCCGATCCCAGCCTTTTCATGTACAATCTAAGCCTGGCTTTTTGCCGATTATTGTTGAAAGCTCCTTAGTTTCACAAAGAAGTATTGCCTTGTAAACCTGTTAAGAAATTTACCATTGGATCAGTTGATTCTATTTCTCTGTTTGAAGATGGCCCTTTACCTTGGGAAACAGTTACAATTAGTCTCATTTAAAAAGGTTGTAATAATATTCTCTCATTTTCAGTGATTACTGATAACTTTGGTAGTTTGTAGATAGACTGAGCTTATGTTCCTTACGATTCTGGTTTCTTCTGTAAAATTTTACATGGTTGCACTTGTGATATTTTTCAGTTATCTCAGCAGATTTATATCCTGAATCCCAGATGTTGACTTCATTATGGGAACAGAGCTTTAAACAGCTGTGTAAGACTGTGTTTGGTTTCCAAGCACACAACTTGCCAATGGATGTGAATGAGTTTCTCTTTATATGTATGTTTTCATCATACACATTTCTATATGTATAGAAAATTATTTTTTCTTTAATTTTGCTTTGAGCGTGCTTTTGTCTAGAATCTATAGGAACATATAAACCAGAAATTTTTTCTTGTTTTTCATAGTTCAAAGAAAATGAATGGCACACTGGATCACCCAGACCAACCTGATTTAGATGCTATCAAAATGTTTGTGGGTCAAGTCCCACGGAGCTGGTGTGAGAAGGATCTAAGAGAACTTTTTGAACAGTATGGTGCTGTCTATGAAATCAATGTCTTGCGGGACAGGAGCCAAAACCCTCCTCAAAGCAAAGGTGAGAACTTCTGTAACTTTCTTGTGAAACTTGGGGTTTCAGCCACTTTCACATATTGCACTCTTAGCTGTGTGCTTATTCAAACAGCCCCGTAGGAACTCTGTGTGACCAGTGTGCATGCAAGCCGAGACTTCATGAAGTCTTTAAGTATGTTTGCCTAATTACACTTGAGCTGTGATCCAGTCATTAGCTGAGCTCAGAAAAATCATAGTTTATTTTAGAGCTCAGCAATAATGGAGATGCTTGAGGAATATGGATTATCATTTCAAAGCAGAATATCCAATAATACTTTGTTGGTCCAGAACATCACTGTGATGCTGTGATATGACCAAAATGTTGCTGGATGGAACACAGTTTCAGATAAATATGAAATTGGGGTTTTAATTGTTCGTGTTAATTTAATACTTGTAAACATTAAATCTTTACTAAATTTGGTGCCTGGATTTGCACTTCAGTTATATGCAATATTTCCTGTGAAGCTTGGTAGGGTTTTGGTACTAGGAAATAATTGAGTTTGAAAATGAATTAGCCAACAGATGTATCTGTTTTAATGGTCTAGTAGTGGTGCTGGGTCAGTTCTAAACGTATTCAATTTTATTACACTTGGAAATCTTTTATAAACTGTCACAAACAGTAGCACCTACTTGTTTCAGTGCCTAACCTCTTCTACTTATCATACATTTTGCCTTGGAATGATTGAAGTGGGACTTATAATTTCTGTACAGCACTCTTAAGATTGAGTGTTCTTGCCTGGCTAACATTTTGTTTCAATTGCAGGGTGCTGTTTTGTTACATTTTATACCCGTAAAGCTGCACTAGAAGCACAGAATGCTCTTCACAACATGAAGATCCTCCCAGGGGTAAGAGCAGAGAGTCCTGCTTTCTTCACAACTCTGTCTTGTTTCTCTGAGCTCCAGCACCACTGAAGCACAAACACATTATGTTGCCCTAAAATAATGTTGTAAAAGACTATTCGAAAGATCAGTATTATGAGATCTATATAATAACAGATGTTAGGGGAATTTTGGAATATTTATAAGAATGATAAGGCAGTGAAGTGGGTAGACATGGCTTTTATAATACTCTGAGGAGGAATGATGGCATATAATTAGGAAAGCCTTTCTTCTTGGAATTTCTGTAGTGTTATATATGCACCTCTCTAGAGGCAATTTGGGCTATAATTTCTTTCTTTCACAATTCTTATAGGATATATTTCATATAGTATGAAGTGAATGTATCTGGGATTAAATAATCTTTTTACATTTTAGATGCACCATCCTATCCAGATGAAACCAGCTGACAGTGAAAAGAGTAATGGTAAGCTTTCCTAAAGTCCCAGTTTGGTGTCATCATTTGTGCTAGTCAGGAAACTTGAGGATTTCCCTTTTGCTTAATAGCTTTTGATGAAGTCTTGAATTGGAGGCCTGTTTTTTTAAAAGAAAAAAAGGTGAAAACAGAAGGGTGTGTTTTCAACAATAGGTAGTGTGAGTGATGTCTCTCAAATTCCATGACTCAGAGTATCTCCCCTGCTGCTGCTTGTGGTAGAACCATATTGTCAGTTAGGGAAACATCCAGTGAGTTCTTCTTTGTACTAAGGTGGCTTAAATCTTTGTTGGGGACATAGACAGTGGGATTGAGTGCATCCTCAGCAAGCTTATGGATGATGTCAAGCTGAGGGCTGTGGTTGATACCCTAGAGGGAGAGAAAGCTGTCCAGAGGAGCCTTGATGGGCTGGAGAGGTGGGCCTGTGCCAACCTCATGAAGTTCAGCAAGGCCAAGTCCTGCAAACATGGATACAGGCTGAGTGATGAGTGGATTGAGAGCAGCCCAGAAAGCCACTCATATCCTGGGCTGCTACTAAAGGAGGGAGTAACAGGCTGAGGGAGTGGTGCTCCCTCTCTACTGTCATGAGACCCCATCTGATGTACTGCATCCAGCTCTGGAACCCCTAACATAAGACATGGACTTGCTCAGGCATGTTCAAGCTAATCAGAGGGATGGACACCTCCTCTATGAGGACAGGCTGAGAGAGTTGGGATTGTTCTACCTGGTGAAGTGAAGGCTGCAGGGAGACCTTCTAGCAGCCTTCCAGTACATGAAGGGGGCCTACAAGGAAGATGTGGAGGGATTGTTTATCTAGGAGTACAGTGTTAGCACAAGGGATAACAGTATTAAACTGAAAGAGATTTGGATTAGATTTTATGAAGAAATTATTTACTGTGAGCATGGTGAGACACTGGAACACATTACCCAAAGGAGCTGTGGGTGCCCAATCCTTGGAAGTGTTCAACACCTGTCTGGATGGGGCTTTAAGCAACCTGGTCTAGTCAAAGGAAGGACCTAGGTGATCTTTAAGGTCCTTTCCAAACCAAACTATTCTATGATTTTATGAAATCTAGAAATGCTTTTTCAAGTGTTTGTCCAATGTGAAGCAAGACCTGTTGCTGCTAGGCTGGGAATCGAAAATACTTCTTGTAGCATACAAGAGAGGTTGAGAATTATGAGCAGTTCAGTAGAGAAGAAAAACTGAATATTTCTGCACATTGGCCATTTCAGATGGATTAAGAACTGAGCGCCTACCACTGGGTAAATAATCATTTATCCATGCATTTCCTTGTGAGTTTATGTACATACATACATGCATGTTCAAATATGTATGTATCTGTATTGCTGCAACCTAAGCAAAGATAATGTTTAGCATCTTGTAGCTTCAGCCTTTCTAGGCTTGGCTGAATTTTATTTTCTTCATTTGCAGTAGCTTGTGTTGCATCATGGAGAAGATAGTCCTAGTTTGAGAAAGCTTACCTCTTAATATAATTGAAAACAGAAGATGAAATGTATGGGTAACATACAGTAGGAGTAATTCCACCTGCAGATTCCTCGATGGATATACAGGACATGTTCCTGTGTAAATATATCTAGAAAGGAGTCATTCTTTTGAAGTATTTTTGGGAGGAGAACAGAATTGGTTCTCTAAACTAAAAATGATCTTGCATTACATACCAAGGCACATACAAATATCCTGGGAAAATAATGGAAAGTGAAAAAAGTATTCAGTGGAATTTTAGGACGGTAATTCTAAGGCTATTATGTAACTCTGAGTGTTAATAAAAAGTGAAGGTGACACAAAAAATAAGAAAGCATTAGTTATGAAAGTATTTGAGGTTGCCACCCAAACAAGAGATTCTGGATTAGTTGAACTAAAATGTACTGCTGAAAGGATCTGAAAGCAGCTTTCTGCTCTAAGACCTGAAAATGAATTGGATACAATATTAAGATTTAACAACCAGTTAAAGTTACATCTGCTGGAATAGTTTGGAGTCTTTCTTTCCACCATCTTAGAAAATTCAATAAATAAGTTGATTTCCCCTCACTGTAGCACTGAATAGGAGAAGACTTTATTGAAGATTCAAAATGTGCTAAAGCCTTCATTATACTATATTTTATATAGTGATGAATGTTGTGTACTTAAACTGTTTGATATTTTCAAGTGATATTCTGAATAATTCACTTCATCCTTTAAAAGAAAGTGTTTCAGAGATGATTAGCATCCTTAAGTAAGTAAATCTAGAGTATAAAATTCTGCTCTGAATTAAAATTTACCCTACTCACTCAAGTGACCTTTAGCTGACATTAGTAACAGCTAACTGAAAAGTTAGGAGAAATGTCTTTCTGAACCATTTATTTTAAAACAGTCTGCACACTGAAAGGTATTCTTCAACTCTAATATATCTAATAGCATCAGTATTTAGAGCCAAGACACAGTACTACACAGTCCATGGTTTGGTTTGAGGTGTTATTTTTGTGCTTTTGTTGCAGATCAGAACGGGCATATCACTAACAGAAATAAAAGTGTTCTGTTTTAGCAACTGCTGTTGCTTCCACTGTTGAGAGAGGAGCATGAGGAAGTGGGCGTATCTAAATGTAGGTGATTGGCAGGAGGCTAAAAAGAAGCTTTCTGAGTTCACTTGCTTGTTTATATGCAGTTAGGTATGTGTTGGTAGTCTAAAGATAGAATAAGCAGAGGAAAGACAATGAAAATAGTCCAGTAAACAACATTCAAGCCTTCTCTCACATAGAACTGAAGAGATACAGGGAAATGCGGAATCTGACATACCTGTTTCCTTTTTTTACATTCCTGTTGTTCACAGGACTTCACAAGCTAAAAATCAGTCAGAAATCATAAACATAAAATCATAAAACAGACATCTGTCAGGTTCATTGAAGTACCTCACATGCATCCTCTTAAAGACACAGTCCATTACTGGGAATCTGGATTTGATAAGCCCATATCTAAATACAAGGGAAATAACTGCACTTAATGGAGAAGACCTAAGATCTAGTAAGCACATATTTGCTGGTGATACTCTTTGTTTTTCGATTCCTTAGCAGTAGAAGATAGGAAGTTGTTTATTGGAATGATATCCAAGAAGTGCAATGAAAATGATATTCGAGTGATGTTCTCCCCCTTTGGGCAGATTGAAGAATGCAGGATATTACGGGGCCCGGATGGCCTGAGCCGAGGTAAGCAAAGCAAGAAGCTTCTCTGGCAGTTTGAGGATGCTGGATGCTGCCTTTTGCAACTCAGCCTGGCATCTGAACTTTTTCTGTGATTCCCACCTACACCCTCTCCCTGCCCTTGCATTTTCGTTCCTTTATTCATCCCAATAATTGTGGAGGTAGTGAATAACTTGATTCCTTTTTGTTCTTTCCCCAGGTTGTGCATTTGTGACTTTTACAACAAGAGCCATGGCACAAACAGCAATCAAAGCAATGCACCAAGCACAAACCATGGAGGTAAAACAAGTTAGTGGGTGTCAGGAGCAGATGTAATTTGTCAGGCAGTCACTGTGGGGTTTCGGGGACTAAAGAGCAGAGAAAAGGACGAGTGCAGTTGGTGTTTCTTCACAAAAACTGCTCCTGGACCTTTGTGTTTGTTTTGCTCTATTTTTAGAGTTTTACATAGAAACTTCATCTGCAGAGAAAATGTCACAATACAAAATAGAACTAAACGCAAATAAGATTTTGAGCCTTTTGATGAAATGTGCTGTTTGAATATATATATATATATATGTCTGTATATGTGCTTAGAGAAGGAGGGGAATGCTTCCAGTGACTGGGTCTTAATTCAGTATTTTTGTGATTGCTGGGGATAGCAAGTATGTAATTGTTTGAATTGCTGTTTGCAGGGTTGCTCTTCTCCCATTGTTGTAAAATTTGCAGACACGCAGAAGGACAAAGAGCAGAAACGAATTGCTCAGCAACTTCAGCAACAAATGCAACAGATCAGTGCTGCCTCAATATGGGGAAACCTGGCTGGTCTCAACACACTTGGACCCCAGTACTTAGCAGTGAGTTTCTGATTTGGGTTTTCATCTCTTCAGTGATTGGAGTGTGTGACTGTCTTGCATTGTTTAATATATTCATTTTTAGAAGGCTCCTGGTAGTTAGGAGCTGGGTTCTTAATCCCCGTTTTGTAGATGAGAAAGCTGAAATTGTGTTACGTGCTCTCACCTAGTTGGGATACTTTTATGGGAGGATTTCAGCCCCAGTCACAGTAGCCCTAATGGTTGAAACCTTGAGTTTTTCTCCTGCATTCTGTAGAATGTGCTTTTTCTTTATACAGTACTGCCTCAAAGTTTACCATACAAATGCCCTTTTCTTGTCTATCTGATGACAAGATTTCTTTATTATTTTCCTTTATTTCTGTCATCCTCTTCCAGTGAAACCTGGAACAGTACTTGGTGCTGTCCAAATAGAAAAGATGATCAGATTGGAAGCAGAGTAAATAAAACTCAAACAACAACCAACTGAATAAAAGCAAACCCTACAGAAAACAGAGAGAAGCTACTCTCTTTAGCAAAAATTATGTAGCAGAGGATAGACTGCAGTTTCATTTCACTTGATTTTGCTGGGTCCCTAAAGGATGAACTTTTCAAAAACTGATGTGCTGTGACTCATAAGGGTTGCCAGAGTAGTTCTGACAACTGTATTCATGCAATATAAAGTCTGAGGAACAGAAAAGGAAAATTTAATCTCATTCTTGGTACAGTGTATAGTTGGAATGGGGCAATCCTTTTACTACTTTTTTAGTTTTGGTAGATTATAATTGTTTTAATAACTAGTTAATGGAAGAAGGAATTGGAAATCTCTGAAAACCTAAGCTGAAGCTTGAAATGTCTCTTATGTCTACTGTGCATAAGGAAAGTAGAGGAGATTCCCTCTCGTAGTGGCTCTTTGGTTTTGTTATGGCATTGCCATTTGTCCCATGCTGGCAGTGGCAGGTGTAAAGTCTTTTTTGAGGTAGCATATCCTTAGGGGTGGCAATCCTGCCTTAGGTGCTTTGAATAGGAATTCTCTCTCACTTCTGATTCTGCTGGTTTTGTCTTGGTGTGTTGGCTATAATTTGCCCTCAGCACTGCTGATGTTGAGTGAGGAAAGCATTGTGCTGTTGCTTTGGCTGCAGTGTGCTGCATGGGCTACAGGGAGCTTCACTGGTGGTGCTCTGGCTGTGTTGTTTGGGGAATTCTCTTTATGCTTTGCTCTGATGTGGTGCATGGGCTGCAGGAATTCATTTGTGACGGCGCTCTGGCTGTGGTGTGATGCAGTTTCTCCCAGAAGCAGAGCCAGCCCTCACTCTCACTCTTGTTTTGTTTTTTGGTGTAATGTCTAGCTTTATTTGCAGCTCCTTCAGCAGACAGCAGCTGCTTCATCTGGGAACCTGAACACACTGAGCAGCCTCCACCCAATGGGAGGTGAGTTTTCTTCCACCAGAAGACAAATTCAGTGCCAAACAAAAGAGAACAAAGTAGCCAAAAGGCTGTAGGCATTTTATTCTCATTTGAAATAAGTAGTCCTGAGTTTGCCTACTCCTTTGAAATGACAGGACTGCTACAAGTGTGGATGTTCCTTCTTAATCTTAGTTAACTATTGTTCCCAAGGTAAGTGGTGGTATCTTCCCAACCTCTGGCATTTAAAATTATCTTCCCTTATGGGTAGTAAAAAGAATGCTCTCTTTATTTGTTTTCATCCAAATAGGTGCATATGTGAAGAAGTGTGTTTTGAAATAGGCACTCACTAATGCACATGTTTTCAGTGATTCTGGATTTTTAGTTTTCCTATTTTCAGTGCATTTAACAACAAAGCATTTAAGATGGAAATACACTGTTGTTAGGAATGCAAGCTAGTGCTTCGTTCAGATTCTTTTATTCATTAATTTGAATTACAGTTAATTATGCCATTACTATTAGGGAAAATCAGCTTCATAGATATGAGCTAAATTCCTTGCTGTGGACAGCTAGTCGGAATATTCACTGAGTATAGCAGTCCTGGGGCTCTAAATTGCTTGTCCCTTTTGTCTTCACACAGTTGGGAATAATAAAACACGTTAGTAACTCCATTCACCACATTCTCTAAATTCTTCTGCTGGCAGAAAAATCTATAGTTTTGATTTTATTACTGAAGACTTAACTTTTCAAATTGCCTGCTGGAGTTTAATGGTAGTTGCTGATATCATGTGCCCTTTCTGTGCAGAAGTTCCTCCAAAAGTGTCTTTGTAGATCTGACTTGTGTTGGGTGGTGTACCCATTAGTGACAATTAAAAGCATTTGCAAAGTGTTATATTTTCATTTGTAAGAATTTTGATTTATACTAGAGGTTGATTCTAAATTAATCTTCCTACGTTGACTTCTTTCATGCTAGATTCTTAAGAGCTCTTAGATCTAAGACTCTTGCAAAAAGCAATTATTTTTAAAAAACCGTTTCACTAATACCCTGTGTGAGGATGATCTGTAATGGATTTTGTTATGCACATGATCTTGCCTTTTCCCCTCCCTCTTGTGTCTGCTTAAAAACAAGATATAATAAAGAAGAAAGTATAGCACTAAGGACTGGGGCAGAGAGAAGGGCATAACTAGCTGAGATTGAGAAGTTTCCAGGGTAGTTCTATCTTCACTATTTAAAAAAAAAATACAAAAACAAACAAACCTTAAAAATTGAGAAACCAGACATGTAAGTAGTATGTTACATGGTTATTCCAAATCTATGATTCAAAAAAGTTGTAGTTTTAAGGTCTTGATATTATCTCAGCTGATATCCTTTCTTGAAATTCATAGAAAGAAAAATTAAGTAGGTAATTAGATCCCAAACTATATCAGACTTTGTAGGCAAAATTTAATCTCGAAGCTGTTTGAAAGCAGATGGGAAAACAGTGTGATGACAAGAGGACAGGTGCAGTGTGCACATGACAAACTGCTTCAGTAAGGAGCAAGCTGCTCTGTTCTTCATTAGCTCCTGCACTTGCACTTTTAACCCTCTGTAGCACAACAAAAGCAAAATAGAAAGCTTTCTGATTTTAACTTCATGCTTTTACGTTACATGGAATCTTGAGAATCTAAACAAAGTCAGAATCCATTTGTTTTGGGAACTAAGTTTACCAAAGAAAACAGATCCTGCCACAAATAGAAAACAATTGAAAAAGAGTTTTAAAAGCCAAACTATGCTAAAGGTATTAGAAGTACTTTGGAAAATAATTAGAAAATTTAGAAATAATTAAGAAAATAATTGTCACATTTTAATGTAATCTGTTTACATGCTTAAATTACAAAACTGATGTTTTAATTATTTGAGATGTGTGCTTTGCTCCCAAGGTCTTTCTAAGTATCCAAAAGATGAGATAGCACCTCTGCTTAGGATGTTCTGATGTTGTTAAATGAAGGGTGATTGATGTAGTTTTGTTTTTAATTATGTTTGGAATAAGTATTAGGGATTGTCTGAAGTCAGATAAAGAGAGGAGGAATTGTTAAAATAATCAAAGATAGAGACAAAAAATGGAAAATAAGAGAAAAGTGAAGGGAAGCAGAATTGGAAGAATGGAGCTAGTCTACAAAAGGATGGTTAAAATAAGATCCATATCAATGGATCCTCTGGCAGAAAAAGAGGGCAGAATATTGTCAGTAGTGACCAAATGATTTCATTCAAAAACAGTGGCTCAAGATGAAGGTGAGTCAGATGAATAAATTAACCAGTAAAATTCATAAACACAGGGGTGCCTTCCTCCCTCTGCAGTATTCCGTGCTCCCTATGCACAACATGCCTGAGGTTTCCTGGATTTCTTGCCAGTGTGTTTGACCAGCCTACACATACATTGGCTGATCCTGTGGTCACGAGTTGCCACTTATCAATTGTCTCACAATCGACTGTTGCTTCTTGGCTGCCAGGGGACCAAACAAAACATACTGATGCTCAGCTGGTGATGGGTTGAAGCCATGACTTTGTGGCCTCTGTGGTGTGAGCCTTTTGTGAAAGAATTTTGCAGTTACTGCTGTCCCCATGCAGAGTGTGGAGGGACCTGAGAGTGGGAGAAGTTATTGGCCTGGTGTCTTGGCAGTTTCTCTGGCTTGCACAGGAGCTCTCAGAGCCTGACTTAATGTAGCCGTGGAAAGGGGTTTTAACCCTTTAAGTGCAGCGGAAATAAGATGCACAGCTACATGGTTGTCTTTGATGACAGGAAGAAAGAGAGAAGTTTATTTAGAAATACACTTGGTTTTATAGCATGACTGCAACTCCAAGAGTAGAGAAGAGGGGATTGGCTCAGAGAGAAGACACCCCATTCCCAGGGCCTGGTCACACACCACAACAGGTGTTCTATCTTTGTTATTAATTCCTTTTTATTTTGACCAAATTATCACCCTGGGAGAAATTCTCCCTAGCCTTGAGCTGGGCCAGCTTATCGGCTGGGAACAGAGCTGAAAAGCTCCAGCCTGGAATATTTCTCAGGCTGTAATTTTCTTACTTTCTCAATATGTGTCCCACAACTTAACTCCTGTGCTTTTGTTGACTGGAGAGAACACTGCTAGAAAATTTCTGTACTTTGAAATCTCCATCTGGCATTATGACTACCTGGCCTTTTCCTGAATCACATCTATCTGGGCAAAGAAAAGATTTTCAATTATAGCAAGGAGTTGCAATGTAGAGAAGATGAGTAACTAGTACTAAGCCTGTTGCTTTGAAGCTCCTGGATGTGGTACACTTGTGTGATGGTGGCTCTGACAGGAGAACCTCGGCATTGTTCCCTGTGTTGCAGGACTGAATGCGATGCAGTTACAGAACCTGGCTGCATTGGCAGCTGCGGCCAGCGCAGCTCAGAACACACCGAGTGGCACCGCTGCACTCACCTCCTCCAGCAGCCCCCTGAGTGTGCTCACCAGCTCAGGTAAGAGACTGCCCCTGCTGCAGCCTGACATGCATTGCCCTGGAAGTCCCTTCAGGATAGATGTCACCTGTTTTGTCTGTCACTTTCGTGTTGGTCTTTAATAGAGGAACAGTTTACTAGTGGATTCACTGGCCTCTGTTTAAGGTAGATATCTTTCCCACCAGCAAAGGCTTTTTTACCTGCTGTGTCTCTTCCTCCAAATGGTCAGATTAATTTAGAGTAAAAAGAATTTTTGAGGTCATCATGAAAGAAAGGTAGGTGACCTCCTTCCAGTCATGTTATTACAATCTCATTGCATATTTGGTTTATCTGTGATTTTAGGCAGGCACTGTGGTAAATACGCCCTGTTCCCTCTTAACATGGAAAGAAGAAAATGTCTTTAGCATGAGGTCATGCATTCTGTGCACTAGAACAGTACAGTTTATATTCCATTAATGAAGACAAGGATATTATAATTTCCTCATAAAAGAAGAATAAAGAGACACCTAGAACTTTTCCTGGAAAGTAGTTGTCTAGAATTTAGTGTATGAGTTGCACATAAATATCAGTATCTTCCCTTTACGTGGCATTTTGGTGTTTTGTTTGTTTTGGGTTGGGTTTCAGAGATACTAGAATGTCCAAGTAGTGTTCTTTTGCTGCCCTATTGCTAAATGTGATCATTAAATGCAACAAGCAAAAAACTAAAAAAAATTGAATTGTGCTTATGGCAGACATACTAAGTTTTTATCACAAACAAGGATCAGTATTCTACTCAGTTATTTCTATCCTGTTTTGAGTTATTACTAAATCCTGGCATGAGAAGGGAGATCCTGTATTTTCAGGGTGTCAGTTGTCCAGCATCTTTGGCTTCTGTCCTACAGACTTGACATCCTCACCTGTGATTGTAAGAGAGCAAAGAGGGGTGGAGGGGAGGCGGTTTTAGACTTCCACAGGTAGATTTGAATTGTGTAGGAGGACCAAGGAGCCAGGCTAAGAGATTATAAAGAGATTACAAGGAAAAGCTGTTTAGAAAACCTTCTGTCACATGATTAGGAGTTAAACCATGGGTGCTTTGCACAGTTTTCTACTTAAAGAAATTCCCAAGAAAGAGTTAGTCCAAAGAGTGTTCTGTTGCAGGAGAATTTTTACATAAAAACTTTGTGGTCTGCAATCCTTAAAAGATTAAAATTTTAAAATTCATCTTGACTCACAACTATGTATCCTATTCTATAATTAAAAAAAACAAAAGAAAGCAAACAAAAAACTGTGAAGAGTTCAGACTACAGAAGAGCTGCATTCATAACCCACTAATGCTTTTTCGTCATAAAGGAAGCATGAAAGTGAATATATCTGACAATTTCTCCTATATTTCCTCCTGCTGTTACAATTTGTTGTGACTGGCATTTATTGGCTTTCTTGTCTGATGACTGCAGCAAGTTTGTTCTCTGTTTTGTTGAGGTAAGAAGGGCTGGCAGGTTGTAAAGTTCAAATGTCAGATGTGCTAGAAAAAGCAGACAGCCCCTTCTCAGAAGCATCCAGTGAAAGGACAAGGGCAATGGACACAAGTTGCAGCTGAGAAAATTCTGATTCGATAGAAAAATAAAATTAATGGCAAGAGTGATCAAGTTCAGGAACAAGGTGCCAGAGGGGCTGTGAAATCTCCATCATTTCAGAGACTGCAAATACAATTGGAAAGGACCTTTTCAAATTCAGGTTAGATCAGCTTTGAGCAGACTGTTAGACAGGATGATCCACTGAGGTCCCTTTCAAATGAAGTTATGCTACTACTGAGTGATTCTTTGGAATTGGCTTCCCCTCTGTGAATTTTGGCTGTTCCACAAAATTATGCAGGTTCCTTTTTCCTTGATGAGAGATATATTTCAGGACTCTGTTCCATTTCTTTCATGCTCATGGAGATGCTACAGGGTGGGAAGCAGCCCACTTTCCAGTACTTTCTGTGCTGAATTCAAATAACCTTCTGATTGTCAGTGATATCAATAAATGGTTGTGTGTCAACAATTCAGTTATCATGATGGGTCATTTGTATTTATATCCTATACAGATTTATCAGTTAACTCTTCACAGGCTTGTAACATGAGGCAGGCACTACTGTATTGCTCTTTAAACCTAATTTCAAGTACAATTTTAAAGAGTAAAGATTAACTCTGTTCAAAAGAAATAAAAAAAAATTTGGAGGGCATGTTGACTATAAGCAGTCTCTGACATCAAATTATGAAACAGTTCTAATGCTCTTTGTTAGAGGTGTAAATATGCTTCACCTTTTAAAACTACACTCAAACTGGGATTAGGGGAAGCCTCAATGTGTACAGACACATTCAATCCCATGATCCTTCCTGTAATTACACAGCTTTTTAACTCTTTAGTCTTCAAGCAATCTCTGTAATCACAGTCTGTTCAGCTCCACACATTGTCCTTCCTGAGCCACACCCAGACCTTGAAGAAACCCAGTACATAGCAGTTCAGTACCATGTGTTAGTAAGTGCCTGCCTTGTCTGAGGGACATACGGCAACATCTACTGTGATAACCTCTTAAACCTACCTGCAGATGAGATGACTAACTCCTTGACTTCTCTCCATCTGTCATCCAAATGTTCACCTGATGCTTATTTGAACATCTCTGCTCAAATTGCATAATTGGTGGAAAAATCCAGACAGTCCTTCTGCATAGTTGCCTTCTTGATTTTCTTTCATCTGCACTGATATCATTGGTATCTGGGGAGCCTGGAGGTCTACACAGTGCAGCCCATGGACTATGGATGGGTTACATGTCAGAATGGTGGAACTCAGAGGCATTATGTATTGTTTTTGTGCTGCCTTCCTACCCATTTCACACAATTTTCTTTAGATAGTTCCAAGCACAGTTGTATATTTTGATGTAGAATGGGATGAAGTAAAACCTTCAATGTTGCTGAAGGAACTGAACAGTCTGCTGCTGTTTTGTGGTCATTGGTGCAGAGACCATGGCCATAAATTAATTCAAACTGCTAGCTTGTGAAAGGGACAGCCAAGAAAATACTATTGAAGGTATCTCAGGATAGGAGTGTCTTGTCTGCCATCTTTTTGACTTGAGCACCAATAAGAATTATCTGCTTCAGAGCAAAATAGAATGGTTGCAAACGCTGAGGTATGTTTCCATTTCTCTTCCTTCTAAAGGCAACCTCAAAGGTCCAACAAAGCTCAGATTATTTTCCTGGCCTTGATTTCTCTCTGGCAAAATTATTTTCAGAGATAGCAGAGTATTTCTGGTTTTACTGGGACTAATTCAAGTACAGTTCAGTCAGATTCATCACCTGAATTTAACTTTTCTTCAGGTCTATGTGACTCAATTAGGACAGGCTGAACTGTCCTCTCAGTTTACCTACCTCCACAAGTTGTTACTTGATGTCCTTGTCCAAGTCTCATTATCTTGCTAATAATATGTCTTTCAATATCTTTCTACAAAGCTGTTCTTTGTTACATATTCAACTTTGCCAAAAACCTTCTTAAGTATTTTCAGCTACTTCTGTTAGAGATAGCTTTTTTGACTAGATATAACTCAGTAGATAGATCTAAGAAAACATAACCTTAGTAGCAAGAAAAAGCCCCAACAAACCACCAAAAACTGCACAGAAACAATGTAAATAATTAAGGATGGAGTAAAGAACATACATAAAACGATATTGATTTTTCCATCTCCATTGCTTTGTTCTCTTTTTTGATCTAAAATACAACACAAGAAAAACAGAAATGCTGACTAGAACAATAGAACTCCTTCCCTATTATGAATAGTCTGAAAAATATAAGACTGACATAGGAGAAGGATATGATTACAGCCTACAAATACATTAGTGTTTTGATGAGGATGAAAAGGGAAAAAACAGTCATTAGATATTTCAAGAACAGAATTGCAGGATATCAGGTCAAGTTGTCACCTGATAATTTAAAAATAAAAACCAGATTATTTCTTAGCATAGTGCACGATTAAATTGCAGAAGTTGTGCCTTAGAAATAGTAGAGTCCAACAATTTGGTTTTCACATTGCACTGAAATTAATGAATGAAAACTGTAATTATTAACGAGACATTGCCTTTGGCTGAAAAAAATCCTAGATTCACAGATGGCTCTGTTGGTATATAGGCTATACACAAGAAGCATTCCTTTGTAATTGTCCTGTATTTCTGCTCTACTGTTACTTATCTGCCTTTTGTCATCATCAGAAATGGGATGCTGTCTTCAATTCCTAGGTACATAGGATAAAGAAAATACAGACAAGTCTTCAGTTTTCTCGGCGTTTTCAGTACTAAAGCATTTCTTGTTTTGCCTGAAGAAATTTCTGACAAAGGAGCTAAACTGAAATAACTGTGTGATCAGCTTTTTATAGCAATTTAACTTAATTTATTTAATATCACAGCTTTTTAAAGTAGGGTAGGTATCCATTTTTTCTCTCACTTTGTTCTCTAGCCTTTTTTTTCCCTTAGCTTTTGCTATTTTATTTGGGATAGATTTGGAAGGGTCTTTAAGTGGTGTTCTCATCTGTCAAATATGGTGTCTTTTTGAATTATAAAGATCAGCAATGAAATGTTGCAGAAACAAGTGATATTCTAAAATCAAGGTAACTATAATTCTGAACTCTGGCTTTTATTCAGCCAGTTTGAGGATTATACTGTAACTTGTTTTCTGTGTTTTCCCAACATTTAATATGCTACTTGATAGTAAGATAGAAAGTCTCCTTTTCATGAGAGTAAGCATCTTAAAATAGTTTGGGACATTGTCTTTCAATTTTTGGTTTATTAGGAGAGTTTGTCTTAACATGTACTAGATGAGGTTTGTCATTCCATCTGTTACTACAAAATGTGGTATGAAGTGCAGCTCTCTGGTTCTCCTGCACCTTTGGTTAGATACAACTACTTTTCTTAAGGGGTTGTTAGGCTGTATTCCATTTAAATAATTCCAATATCCCACCCCAGCAGAGACTTTGTGCCACAAACATGAAGTGGTAAATATGTAGTGTGTGTGTGAAACCTCTTGAAAGATGCTAACAATTCTTTTAAAAGTTTTAGTGGATGTTTGTAGCATAATTGAGAATCACAAAAACATGAGGAAAACTGAAAATGCTTCAAATTCAGTTCTTCTTTTAGCTCCTTGGTCAAACCTATAAGTTCCTCTTACAAGCAGACTACAAGATGCCTTTACAGCATCAGTCTTCAGTGTCTTTTAATTTTTAGCAACCATGAGTATTTTCTAGTGCATCTTGTGCAGTAAATCTCAACTTCTTGGTTAATAGCAATACAGATAGCTTTTCTTCTGCAAAGAAGAAAAAAAAAGTGCACAAAACTGTATGAAAAACCACTGCTATATAATCATAAAAATACTATGCATTTCTTATTTTATCATGTCCATAAATCTTTGTAGATGACCTCAGTGTGAACTTCTTTTTCTTTTGACATACCAACTTGGAAGACTTTTTTTCTCATGATTTTGATGTTGCCTTCTATAGAGCTAACTCTTACCTGGTGTAGAATTTGGTGGGCCAGTAAGCTGTTACTGTCCTAGGTACTGTATTGGCAGACTTCTCTGACTGAGTTGATGTAGTTGAAGATGTTGCTGGAATAGAAGACAGACTACTTATTTTTGGATGTACTTTTCAAGATGTTTCTCAGTCCTGGCCCCAGCTGTGGCAGCAGGATTTTTAATAGAAAATTATTTAATGTGTCAAAATAATCTGGACGTGTGGTGTTCCTGTTCTGGCAGTATGGGAAAACCATATGTTCAGCCTTCTTTAATATCCCTAGTATCTATGTTGCAAGTCTTTTTCACCTTGAGTGACATTTCAAGGATATATGTTAATACATAGCAAGTGACTCTTACTTTAGGCAACAGGAAACAGGGCATCACTGTTGAGATACAGGGTTTAGCCAACATTTGTATAATGTCTCAATCTTATATGTCTTAACTTACTGACATTTTTATTGCTACCAAGAGTAGATGTTATGATGAAGTAGAAATTTTAAAAAAATGTAGGAAGGGCTTAGAACATATAAGCAGTATGATCAATCAAGTTGTGTGGGTTTAGGGTATTTTTTTACATAAAGTATCCTGTGTTGCCTGAATCTCTTCCTTACTAATTTTTTCTTTTGGAATAACTTAATGAAGAAGTTGAATTGGACTAAAAAATATTAGTTGAAGTTTAATTGTTTTATTTTAATAGCAGGTTCCTCACCTAGTTCCAGTAGCAGCTCCTCTGTTAATCCAATGGCTTCCCTTGGAGCATTGCAGACGCTGGCAGGTGCTACAGCAGGCCTCAACGTTAGCTCTTTAGCAGGTAAGTTATGTGCCATGGTGGCTTGGGGAAATGGCTGATTATCATTCCTCAGCCTGTGATAGGTCTCTGGGGTGATTTTTTTCTGCTCCCTGCTTTTTGTAATCGTGCAGAGCCTTTGAAAGGTTATTAATCTGTCTCAGTGGAAGCACTCAGTCATCTTTTATTTCTTCTTTCTTATACAGGAATGGCAGCCTTAAATGGAGGACTTGGCAGTGGTGGTCTCTCAAATGGGACAGGCAGCACAATGGAAGCCCTCACACAGGCTTATTCTGGAATCCAGCAATATGCTGCTGCTGCACTGCCCACACTCTATAACCAGAGTCTCTTAACACAGCAGAGTATTGGTGCAGCAGGAAGTCAAAAAGAAGGTAGGCAGAAAGTTGTAGAAACAATTTGAGAGGGGTTTTCAAAAGGGCAAGCTGAGCCCTTACACCTACCTTACCTGCAGATTTTTTATTTGATGCCATTTTTTAGAATCCAGAAGTTACTGAAGATGAAAAAGGTCTGTGGGATCTTTCTACTAAGGGCTGCCCAAAGTAGATTTTACACAGGATGTTTCTCATGGGATTTGTTTCATCTTAAGTGCTTCCTTAGTCATGCTCCTGCATGTTATCAGAGGGAAGGAGAATATGAGTCTACAGCCTGATACATCCCACTGTCAGAGAATCAGACGTGGTTTTATTAATTTTGTTTTCTGGGTCCTTCACCTCTTCCAACAGCTACTTATGTTAGTCTTTTCACTCTTCAGATTCAGGTTAAATTTAATATGTTGTGTAAAGTAATGTAGCATTTCAGCAGAATGTAGCATGTTTAGAAGAGAATCTGTCAAATTGCAAACAATATGATTATTTGAATTTTGTTTGGAAATTTACTTAGTTGCTTTGGGACCACAAGTTTTGCATAGCCATTTTTTGTTCAGTCAACATTTAGCACTCAAACTTACTGTTCAGCTGTCATTACAGCAAATATCTGTGAACCAGTTTTGGCACAATGTGTAAAGTACAAACAAAAGTGGACAGAAAGAGCTAGAATCATTTGAGTGATCAGTCCCAGCAAAGGCTCATGCTCATTTATTCTGGAATCAAGTGCTCTGCAGTACTGTGAATAGCAGTTTCATTGTTTTATCTAGAAAATTTGTCTTGACTGGCTCTTCCACCTTTTTTTGTGCAGTGGGTATGTGGTATCTATGCTCTTTCTGAATTTATTTTCCTACTTGTTTGAAGGTCCAGAAGGAGCCAATCTGTTTATCTACCATCTTCCCCAGGAGTTTGGGGATCAGGATCTGCTGCAGATGTTCATGCCATTTGGAAATGTCGTCTCTGCCAAGGTTTTCATTGACAAGCAGACCAATCTAAGCAAGTGTTTTGGTATGTTGGATCTATAGCTTCCTTACAAGGGGAAAGAGTGAGGCAGATTTCTCTCTGGTGACCAATGACAGGACTCAAGATAAAGGCCTGAAGCTGAGTCAGGGGAGGTTTAGGTTGGATATTAGGAAAAGATTTTTCACCCAGAGGGTGCATGGGCATTGGAACAGGCTCCCCAGGGAAGTGGTCACAGCACCAGCCTGACAGAGTTCTAGAAGTGCTTAGAAAGTGCTCTCAGATGAACATTGTAATTCTCAGGGTGTTCTGTGCAGGGACTTCAGTGATCTTTGTGGATCCATTTCAACTCAGGAAATTTTGTCATTCTATAAATCATTATTTGTAAAAAGGTGGCTTTTATAGTAATCTCCTTTTCAGTATATTGTCTAGTCTAGCTGTTAAGTAAGTAGGGAATATCTATATATTCCTAAAAATAAATAAACCAAACACTTTCAGCAATAAACTATTTTTTTCTTATTTTCAATGTGACTTTTTGCTTTTCAGAGTTTCATACTATTGTGCCCTATTATAGTGTTCTGGTCCTAGCTAATTTTCCCTGAGATTAGCTGAGTTGGTTAAAGCACAGTGCTAATAATGCCAGGTTTGTGGGTTCAATCCCCTTATGGGCCATTCACTTAGGAGTTGGATTCCTTGATTTTTGTGGATCCCTTCTAACTCAGAAAGTTCTGTGGTAATTATTTGTGTATGCAGACTGTAATCCTGAGATAGTTCTTCCCCTTGCCTCTTCCCATCTTTTCAATAATTTCAATAGTAATTTGTATATATTACTTAGTACATTATGATTATGAATTTTTTCTATTAATACTTTTCTAAATAACTACTGTGGGTACCATATTGCATTTTTGTAGTGCCATAGGCTCTCGTGACTGTTTTGATAGATGGAGATTTGTTGTGATGAGATAGAAGTGAGCCTTTCTCTATGATTTTGATAGCTTTGTGTCTACAGAAAATCCTGAATTTTTTGCTATTTCAGCCAAAAGGTGTGGACAATCTGGTGCTTTGTGAGAACACAGAAATATGCTGATCATTCAGCTATAACACCTACATATTATGGGCACACAATAGGCATTGACTGGAGTGGGAGTTATTCTCGCTCCAGACATTGACTGTTGTTTAAAATAGGCTCCTTCAGAACACTGGAGAAGTTTATTTTCAGGAAAATCTTTTCCAGGAATGATAGGCAACCTCCCATCTGAGAGCAACCTAAATACAATAGTGGTACCAGTGCTACCCTTCCTTGGCAGCTATTTCACTCCAAACAAATCTGCTCCCATAATGTCATGAGGGTGATATCAGTCTTGTATCTTTAATGAGCTTTTGAATCTGGATGAACGTTTTCCAGGTTTGGTTTTCTCCCAGGTATGAGTTGTTATAAATAACAGTACTTATTTTGTTGATAGACTAGAAAATGTTAATTATCTTCTGGCCAAAGTTCCATATGTCAGCAAGCAATGCTTTGGTTGAGAGCCTTTAGAAGTTATTACGAGGAGTCTAAAACAGTTATGAGCTTCTGAAAATGGAACTTCATGAAAGCCCCTCTGACCTTGTGAGTGCCTGCCTTTCCAGCTGTGAGTAGCCATTGTGGGCACCTCTGGCACGGGGTAATCGTGTTTTCCTCTCCTCAGGTTTTGTGAGTTACGACAATCCCGTCTCTGCGCAGGCTGCTATTCAGTCAATGAACGGCTTCCAGATCGGCATGAAGCGGCTGAAAGTACAGCTCAAGCGCTCCAAGAACGACAGCAAGCCATACTGAGCACCCCTCCCCTCTGGGACTGGAGTGAGAAGGATCTTCTGGTAAGTTGGAGAGGAGCGCACTTAGTGATTCGAAGCCCTAAGGCTGTGTTTTTACAGTCCTGGAAGCTGATCCATGCCTTCTATCTGGCACATCTTCCCTTGAAGACTCTGCTGCAGCCTCTGCTGAGAATCCCGCTTCGGATGGAGGACAAGTTTGTGCTTTTGTTTCCAGTGTTTTACTTTGGAGTTTAGGTGCCATATCGCTGAGGTTTTTTTTGTTTAGTTTTGTTTTGTTGGTTTGTTGTTTTTTTTTTTTCTCCCTTATTTGAAGTTTGCTGTGTTTGTAACCAGTGTGTGTTGAGAAGGACCAATGCCAGCTCCTTGGGGGTGGGGAGAGAAGGTTAAAGGGAGCAGCAGAAATTGACACCACACTGCCTTGGGGTAGAGAGGAGAAGGGAAAGCAGAAATAACACAGAACAGCTGATGAAAACAAAGATGGGCAAAGAGAACAGAGTCCTGGGTGAGAAAGAACCAGCTCCATGCAGCCTTTGTCATGCCCTATCCGTTCTTTGAAATTTCCTTACTGTATGCCACAGTGGGGATTTATTAAATCATCTCTAAAGGAGACAGGCTAAAAGGGTGAACAAATTAACATGCCAAAGGAAAACTGCAGTGATTTCTTTTTCTTTGCTGTATATAAACTAGTGTTTATGTAGCACTGTGAATGTACACAGCACTTTATAAAAATATTAGATAATGTCTCTGCTCAGAAAATTTCACTCTGTCTACAGTGGAATATTAATGAGATGCAGTGAATTTCTCCATGTATAAGAAAACCTATGTACTTCATCTAGGTTTTGTGGAAAAGTAGAGGCAGCTTAGTCTAGATGAATACATCTGGGTCTGGAAACAAGAAATTTTAGATCCTTGGTAACCTGCAGAAATTTTTGACAATTTTTCTTCTTAACAGTTGATCACATTCCCCATTTCTGTGGAATAATGTCTTTTTTTTGCAGAGATTGCTATGAATCCCTTTCCATAAGCGTAGTGTAAGTGCTGATTGTTTATTGAAATGATAACTTCCTGTTTTATTGGGTTTTTTTATTGTGGTTTTTTTTTTAATGAACAAAACTCATACAGTGACTTGGTCTAGTAATCAGGTGTATCTCTCTGCTGCAGTTTTCCTTTAAGGTGGTGTGTACCAGTGCAAAACAGGCTAAACCAGGAGCTGTGGAACCAGAGTATTGAGCCATTCAGTCTTTTTCTGCCTTTTGATACAAGATGTTACCTTTTATATTGAAGGAAAATTGAATACACCCCTTAACTGAACACACTTCTTCTGCACACCAGTGGAATTGCTAGTGCATTGCTAAGGGCCTTTAATATTCACTGGTTTTAAGGGGCTCAAAGGACTTTTGACACTCTGGCCTGAGCTGTTTCAAGAAATCTGTGTAGAGTTCCATTTTATAACCACCAAAATCCACCTCTGTCACAAGAGGAAGTTTACCATTTCTGTGTCTTTAACAGAAGTTTGATTTACCTCATAATATCGCCTTTTCCTTGTTTTCTTTGTATTCCTGGGTTGTCAGGCTGTTTCCCAGGGCTCCAGCTAACACTGCAGTCTGGGAGGCAGCTGCAAAATGAGGTGTATGGGTCAGACGTGTGTTCTGCTCCAGCAGGAGGAGCACTAAACCCATCAAACCTGGGATCTCGAGTCTGAATCCCCACTTGTGTGCAGTGATCTGTTGGGCATTTCCAGGGATTGGGCTCCCTGGGATCTCAAACCTCAAAATTAGAACAAGGCCTGATATGTAACATCCGAGAGGAGCTCTTTCCAGTTCTTAGATTGCAAATCAAACAGTTGATGTCAGTCTGTCCATATTGATGGCAGACAGGTAAATCTGTCAGTATTATTTAAATAATTTTGTGGTGGCAAAGTTTCAAAGGCCAGATTGCCAAATTTCCCAGTTATGCTGGCATGTGGTACCCTTCTATGTTAATTATTTGAATCTCTCTAGAAAAGTGAACATACACTGAAGTGAACCATGTACACTTGAATTCTGCACCATAGGAAAGATGTGTCCTGGTTTTCTGAGAAAAGAGTGTTGGAGTGTGAAGGCCTCCAGGGTGATAATGGGATTTTTTATATATATATATAAATTATATACTTTTCAAAAAAAAGGAAAAAAAAAAAAACATAAAAAAACATAGTTGGGAGCAACTGCTCCAAGTGCAACCTGCTGTAACCAAGAATGTTGTTTCTATTTTTATAGAAGTTTTATACCGCTCCAGGGTGGAGAATATTTATTACCTAAATTATTTCACTGGAAAAAAAGGCCAGGGTTTTGTAGAATCCTGAATGTGATTGTTTTACACACATAATGATGTGCATGATTGAAACTACTGATTTTCAGTGGCCTGTTTGCAGCCCAACAACTGCTAAACAAGGAAGATGAATGCTGTGAACCAGTGGAGGAGAGCACTGTGCTCTGGGGTCTCTACAGTCACTCTTACCTTCTTTGCACCCTACCCCACTGTACTATCCAAGACCTTTGTCCTGTTTTTCTTTTAACCTGATGCTCTGGCCTCTTTATTAGTCATTTCAGTTGCCCAAAATTAGATATTTTGGCTTCTTCATCCTATAGTGTGTCCTCAATACTGTAACTTACAGATCAAGCTTGGCATTGTTGCAAATAGGTGCGACTCCTATTAAATTTAGGAGATTCACCAGTTTACACTGTGGCTTAGTTTGATCAGTGACTCCTCCCAGACATAATCACCTTAAGACACCTAACTTGGGCTGGCTCTTGTGCCTTACTGGCATAACTATAAGTATTGCCAAAAAGAAAAAAGAAATAAATCTATGCAGGTTAAATTTTAAAAGATGTGATCCTCAGATGGGTTGAATCAATGCAGTTCAGCTCTCTGAACGCAGTAGAGCTGCATCAGTTTTCACCAGCTGAAGATGTTGCCCTTTTTGTGTATTTGTTTCAGATTTCCCTTTCTTGGTGTATCAATGTGTATGTTGCCAAAGTTAATAAATGTATCAAGTTTGTGACTTGGGCAGATTTTTTTTCTGATAACAAAACTGATCAGATAAAGTCAACATTTCTGTGTCTGTCTGGTGGCTGCCGCTGATTGTGGGGATTTAGGCTGCTCTTGCTTTTCAGTCTTAAGGCAGTTTTCTTCCTCACTTATTGGCAGGAAAGTCTGGGATTTTGGGGACTTGGGGCCTTTAAATTTTTAGTTCATATCATGCTCTCATTTAAGTGGAAATGAAATCAGTGTCAAATGCTCTGTTTCCTGGATAGTAAGATAAGAGTTGGGGGAGTTCAAATAAACTGCAGAAAGTTGGCTGAAGCAGCCACGTGGACAAAGTATGCTGTATGCTTAAAACCAAAGAACCTGATTTTCTACATGAAAAGCTAAAAGAACTTCTGATGAAATAGAATTCCTTATTACGTGTGCCACCAGGAAATACTTTAAATATTTTTCGTTTACAAGGTGGAAATGGTCTACTTCATAGATTTATTCTTTTTCTCAGGAGATATATGATTTTACTGCTGTAATAAGGTGAAAGAATTATGAACTTAGTCTGATACTGCTTAGTGTCAGTACTATAGTAAATTAGATCATCATTTCTTCAGTCCCCTAGATAATCAACAGTCCAAAATAGGATATCTCTTTGTAGTTAAGCTTTTTTTTTTTTTAATACAAAGCTGGCATTATTAAAAAATTCCAGCTTAGAAAAATCTCACTGGCAAAGGCATCTATCAGGAAAAAGCCTTTCACCTGAATACTGAAAGTCACATATTATGATAATTCTATCATGCAAGCTGAATCTAACTGAACTGGTAGTGGTTGTGGATTAGGGAAGAACAACAAAGCAGAATGAAGTTGTTCCTATTTTATTTGGAAATACCTAAAAACAACTTGGATAAAGCAAATTGCAAATGAAGGGTGCAACTCTGAACAGGTAAAATGCTTTGAAAGCTTCTTGTTGCAGACATGTAAACCTAAAGATGATGGATATCCCTGGCATACCTGCCACAAAATATAAAACACAGAAGGCAGAATTACCACTATTGTGAGAATAAAACAAGGACAAACTGGAATAACTTTCTCCAAGTCATTAAGATTTTGTCCAGCATCTCATGGTTCTGTTTTTATAGGCCAGTCTTTCCATGGCACTTGGATAAAACTCAGTCTTTGCCCTCAACATAGCTGAGTGAAATATTTGAAAAATCCATATCAAGAAAATCCCCAAACAAATCACACAGAGGATTTCAGTGGTGCATGCTAAGATGTCACTTGATTTCATGCTTCTTGTTTCTCATGCCTCAGTTCATGATGAATTTGCTTTTCTGGATTGAGTGAAATCTTGCACCTATCTGCAAATTGTCTAGAGTATTTCTTGAAATACAGAAATAAGTGCAAGAGTTGCATTGTACTCTGTTTGTTGGAGTTGGTTTAAACTCTGTACTCAAGTCCTTTCTCTTTATTGGAAAGCATGAAAAGCAAATTAATCTCAGCAGTTCAAATAAGAGGAGTGTTGCTGATTTAGTAGACAATGTGTTTCTTGTTGCTTTGAAACGAGAATGCAACACTTGCTATTCTCAAATTATGTTAGATAATATGCAAATCTCACCTTGTTTTAGGCTGTAACCAGAAGCTTTGAGATGTGCTGAAGATTAAGGCCACAAACAGGAGCTAAAGGGGAGTGTTAGGGGTGTGGAGAGGCAGAATAAGAAAACAAACTGCTTCCCCTCTCCTCTGCCTCCCACTCTCATCCCAAAATGTTCCTTGTCTCTTGCAGCTCACAAGCTGAGGGAAGGGAACAGGGCTATTTATGTCAGTTAATATAAGAATTATTTTTTTATAAACTCTTCAAGAAAATTTCAGGAAACACATTTTTTCTGCTCATCAAACTGGCAACAGTGACTGTAGAGCTTCTCAGAGCCCAGAATCTCCTCCTCATGAAGCCAGGGAGCTGAGGGCTGTTACATAAAAGGTTGGGAATGGAAAATCCCTGTGCAGGTCTAATGGTATGACAAGTGCTCAGCTAGGACAAGTCTTAACTTGCAGTCGAGTCTTAAGGAATTCTTCTCTGATGTGTGAGCTTTTTGTCTTGTATAATCTTATTTTTCCCCTTTTCCAAATTATTCCCCCCCCCCCCAGTTACATGGGCTCCTAGGGAATGAGAAGAGACTGTAGCTAAAGGAAAGAATGTGGATTTGCTGGGCTACTACTGCCTAAGACCTTCCCATGTTAGAGTGCAAGAAAAGTCTCAAACGTCAAACCACCTGTGAATCCCTTGTGTCCTCTGTCTTGTCTCTCATGGTCTCAGTCTCTGTGGGCGTTTGCCCTGGAGTGATATTTTTTGGAATTGGTCTCCTGGGGAGGGAGTTTAGCTCTGTTCTAAACAGAGGTAGTAGACACACTAGGCACAGGGCAAGGTGAATGCATGCTAACCAGTGTGTCACTAGGCTGTGGAATGCTCCACAGACTGGGTGCTGAGAGGGAAATCCAGGCCTCTGCTTCCATTTGGTTTCTGGCAGTTTGATGTTTACTTGGTGTCCTTCATGTACTTTGACTTTTACTTGTCCATCGTTGGCATGTGCTGCCCTTCCCTGTCAACTCCCTTCCCCAGGAGATCTCATTGTACAGTGCCCATTCTTGTTCTCTCTCTCCGTGTTTGGATGTACTGCTCTGTGTAACTCAGTGGGTCTCCCTCTTTCTGGTTTGTTTTTTTTTCTAGATTCCTGCCGTTTGTTCATCGTTGTGCCTAAAGCATGTCGATGTGGCGTTCAAGTACATCGTCCAAATCCTTGTCTCTTCAGCTTCTCTGATGCTTGAACTCTCACCTTTGACCTTGTGTTGACCTTTGATGCTGATGTGTATTTTTATTTTTTTTTTTTTTTTTTTTTTTTTTTTTTTTTTTTTTTTTTGTGCTGCCAAATTGGTTTTGCTAGAAAGACTGCTGAAGGGGAATATTTAAACTTGCATTTGAATATAAAAAGAATTTCTATTTTTCTAGACCTTCGTAAGATAACCACTTGATTTTGTGAATCTGATTCTTTGTAATTTGTCTTCAGAGCAGCCTTGCTAGCATACCTTGTGGAGTATTTGTATTTCTGTGAACATACAGCCAATCACTTTCTAGGCTTAGTTTTTTCTGTGTGCTTAGTTTTAAAAACACAGTTCAAAGAAAAAGTCAATTATATGGTGTGACTCAATCTTTCAGGAGACTTCCTAGTCACATTTTGCTGATCTGGTTTCTGTGCTTGAGGAGACAGCATGTGTTTTTATGAGTTCAAACTTGTGACTTGAAGTGGCATCAACAGAAAACACTTGAACTACGTTTTCCTCCGATTGTAGCTACATTTTTGCCCTGGCATTTACTGATTTTTTTTTTTAATTATTATTATTTTTATTTTTTTCCCTGCTTCCCTGTGTGATTATCAGTCTGCAGTGAAAATTTGATCAAAGTTGATGTTGTATTTTGTTAAGCTCTGGCATGCTTGGTTTTTTTGTAACTACAATCTCCTCAGCAAAATGTGATGTTTTTGTTTTAATCTTTCAAACTAAGATAGTGCCCAGAAATGTTGTGCATGTTTCCTGCTGTTTTCTTCACACCCTCGTATATATCACCTTCACCTCTCTGTTTTCTATAGTTTGTGCAAAAACTGAGCAATTTAATGGGTTTCAAAGGTATCCTTTAAATTGGTGGTTTTGGTATGACAAATATCTGATCAGAAGCCACCTGAGGGCATCTACCTGTGCACTTAGACTGTCTGCCTGACAGAGCACCTGGACCTTGCTCCATCTCCAGGCTGTCAGAAGCTCTGAGAGTGCTTGGTTACACTGTTCGCCTAGTGGAAGTTTCAATGGAAGGGGATAGCTGGGAGCAGGAAGGTGAGGGAACTCACAGTATTTCTGGTTCCAAAGCTATCTGAAGCTAGGGCTCATTTCAAACACTGAGCATTTTGTACAACTCAGGGCACATTTCTGTGAAGTCCAGCCCCAATCTAATAACATCAGTCAGAGTTTGGTGGCAGGATTCTGGAAGGATCTAGGTTAGCTCATGAAATAAAGTGTTTTAAATTTCCCAGAGAAAGCATTTGTAACACTGGCCCTACAACTGCTGGCTCTTTTCCCAAATGACAAGCACAATACAACAGCCTCTGAAGCTGTTACCTGAACAGGGTACCATCCCCAGCTCTCTTTTCAAGGGCCTTAGCTGGGGAATCTCTGCGGAGATTTTTTAGTTTTTGTTTAGTTTTTAATTGGGTAATGAGCTGAGCAGTTTTTCTGGCTTGCAGGATGAACTAGAACAGGTTACAGCTCTCTGGGTAGCAGGCTTCCCCTGCCCTACGTACCATCTGCACAGGTAGAAACTGGGAAGTAGCTTCTAGATGAAGGCACCTGAAGAGTGTGTGCTGTGATGAAGTTTCAGTCAGAAGCAGCAGCAAGCTAGTGTAGGTATCTTAACAGTTGAAATAATGTGAAATGGAATTCCAGGAGAAGGGTTTTTGCTGAGAAAACAAGTAGAGTTTGATTGGATAGAAATCTTAATTTTGTCCAGTGTTTGGGATAATGTAAAGATGCAAAGATTGTTTTCTATCCTACTTCTGAGTTGGTTGAGGATACTGTATTCTCACTAGGTATTGACCAGACTTGTGTAGACAGTCCTTAATCTGCTTACAAAAGAGAACCATTTGAATATGGTACATGTACCTGGGAGTGAATCGTGAGGCTGAATGAAAAAGGGTAGAGACTCGTTTATTTGGGAAGTAGGGTCGGGGGCTGGCTGCTGTTAGTCTCACAGTCTGAATGCACAGGGCTGTGTGCCAGGGGGCACTGGTACCCTGCAGTGGATGGAGGAACTGCCAGTACGTTTCTGTACGTGTGCATTTGGTTCCGTAAGGAACCTTGGGGAAACCTGTGGAAAAATATCTGAAGAAAACCAAAATGCCAAATGTTGGGTGTTTCTTTCCTTTCTTCTTTCCTTTTCTTCCTTTGGTTGTTTTAATTGTTCTGTGGTGGTTTTAATGGATTTGAGACAGTGGAGCAGCAGCTGCCTTTCTGATTTTTGGCTGCTTTTTGTGAATAATTTAAAAAGAAAATTTACATTTTGGAGACAAACCTGTGGGCTTTTTTATTGGTACAAACATTGTATTTAACACTAGGGGTTTTGTACAGTTTTTTGCCTTTTCTACTAGAAAACAATGTAAAGTGATTCACAATGTGACGAGAAAACAAATTGCCACTATGACCAAATGTAGAGTCTGTTCTGCAGTTAACGGGATTTAATCAACTCGAAGTCGTGGTTCAGTCGTAGAAATGCTTTTCTTTACCTTGTTTGAGCTGTTCCTTTTTTTCTTGTTTTGATTTGCAAAACAAAATGTCTTTTTGTGTGAAATTGTGTTGTACTCTGTAGAGAATTACAGATTTTACTTTAATGGTTTAAAAAGCAGAGGAGCGCGTGTTGCTTTTCTGATCTGATCACAGAGTTTGTGTAGTGGATTTAAAAATGAAAAGATTTGTTACAAGTTTGGAACAAGCGAGTATGTGTTAAAGGAATTTTCTTCCTTTTGTGTGTGTGGTTTTTTTTTTTTCTTTTTGTCCCAAAGGGCAACTTAAAGCTGTTTTAATTGCACAGACACACCGACAACAAGTCATTTTGTATATGCCAAGTGTGGTACCTTCCTTTGTTTATTTGCTATTAAACTGTTTGAGAAGAGTCCTTGTGTGTTGTATTTGTGTCTTAAACTTGAAGCTCTTTTTGGGCTCCAATTGTGAGAAGATGAAGAGAGAGATGAGAGAACTATTTTACAGTTTCGTAGCTGTGAGACACAAAAATATTCATGGCCCAATACCACTTGTTCTAGATGTACAATAATCGCCCTGGATTTTTACTTCTGTGTAGATGAGCTACTTTGAGTAGAAATGGAAAAGGTTTTCTGGTTGATATACCTCCATTTTGAGTCATTTGACAGTCAAGTCCCCTATAGACGTGGAAAAGCTGAGGATCTTGGATAATGCAAATATGTGCAACACTTGGGAGTGAGGAGTAGACATATCCAGCCTCACAGAACTGGTGCCATGCAGCCACTTGCCTGTCCATACACTTGTGCTTCAGGGTGTTTCAGGGGCTCAATACCTTGGGCAGAGCAGCAGCCCCAGCTCTGCAGGAGCAGCAGAGTGTGTGGTGCTGTGTGGGATTAGAGAGGCACCAGCTGATGCTGCTCTCACAAACCCCACACTTGCCACCGCCTCCTTCCCCTTCCAGGAACACAGCCAAGCTTGCTGAATCTGTCCTGGTTCTACAGCATCCAGGTACCTGCAGCCCCCAGTGCTCCTGGTCCTGGAAATACTACACAGGGAAACTGCAAAGGGACATGGATTACTTACTAGTGATAAGCAAAGGCCATCTGCTTTGCTCTTAGAAATAAGATACCTTTTATGATACCTCATTTCAAATTAATAAAAAGTATTTGGCAAAGCCAAAGTATAATTCATTTAGAAACCTGCAAAAAGTTTGACATGAATATTGCCTCTCTCAGAAGGAAAGTACCACAATGGCCATGATTTTGCTGCATTTCTGAAAGCTCCTAAAATTCCCTGATGTTATTTCTTCTTTTTGCTGTCCTGCATCTTGGAGACTTGCAAGCATTTGTGGGACAGCTATGTTTCTCCTCCGTGTCCTTTTCCTGTGTTATCTGGCATACTCTATTTCACCCCATCACTTCCTACATGATTGTAAATCTGAGAGCACTTGCAAAGCATCAGGATTCAGTGCTGCATTCCTTGTCCTGAGCACACCAATTGCAGCACGAGGCACGGGGCCACCTGTTACAGACTGTGCTGGGATCCCTGCAGTTAATTTGCAGCTGTTGAGAAGAGAGGCTGGAGGGGTTTCAGTTTAGAAACAACTTGAGGCCAAGGATGGAGAGAAACAATTGAATCAGTAAAAGGGTTTGGTTAGGCAGAATGGAAAATTGCAGCTTGTGCAGAAAGTTCTCTCACCTTGTCTTACACAATCAAAGCTTTGTAAGCTACATCTTGCAGAACTGACACTGGATCCCTCTTGGGTCAGTAGCTTTTTTATTTTTGGAAGGCTTTTTCTTCAGTTTAAATGGCCACCACCAATCAGTACAAAATCAAACTACACGTACTAAGAGCCAGTGTATTAATCTCTGAAAATAATGAGCATTTTCACATGAGTTGTTGTATTTATCAGCATTTGTAGGAAATACACAAAGTTGTAGGTGAAATCCTGATACTGAATATTTTAGGAGAAGCCTTTTTCCTCTCACATCTACCTCCACCTTTCACTGTTTGTTTTGACTCCAGTCTTCCTGACTTTACCCACCACATTCTGCTCTCTTCACACGGCCAGGAGTCACCAGGGACATTATGAAGAGCAGTGGGGAGGAGGAGAAGCAGGTCAGTGTGGTCACTCTGGAGAACTGAGTGCGTGATGAGCCACACTGCATGCATGACAGGTAAGATTCCCTAATTTGATGTTGCCAAGCACCATTCAGGCTCATTTATTTGCACTTCCTGAGGAGAAACTGTGGATTTTAAACTGTAGAAGCTGTACCTGAATCTTGTATGAATTACAGCTGTCTTGAGCCACAGATAGATGCCATTGCTTTTTTTCAAGTAGCACAGGCAGGCAGTGTTGATCTTTCACCCCGCCTTATTTAGGCAGCTGCAGCTGGGCTCAGAGTGGTATGTTCCATATCAGAGCATGTTCCTGGTTTTTTTGAAAATTACTAGTTTGAACTTGATGGATTTAGTCTTTATTTTACTAGGGTTTTTATCTCAACAGGTGAGTTGCAAATTGATTCCTAAGAAACTAAGCACTGTTTCATAGTGCTCAAAAGCAAGGAGGTGAGGTGAAGTTAACAAAATGCAGGGCAGATCATCTCCTGTTAGAGGGGTTTTATCAGGCTGCAAGGCACCCTCTTTTCATTTTGGCTGTGCTGTGTGGGGAAGGAAGCAGTGATGTGGTCCAAAAAGAATCTCAGGATGAGCTTGAGTCACAGGCAGCTCACTCGTGGAAGGCTAATTTTGCAAAGTAGTCTGATCTACCAAGAATGATACAATTTTTGTTTTCCCCATTCCTGAGTCCTGGCCTGTTTCTGTTATGTAGCAGGCTCCAGTGGCTCCTTTCCTGGCCTCTTCTCCAAGTCTAGAAATTGAATGGCCTCACCATTATCAATGCTTTCCATGAGGACTGATCTTCTGCATCATGTTCCCATCCTACCACCTATATCCATAGAGACATTTAAGAATTACTGCAAGAAGGAGAGATTTTTGAAAATTCTTAATCAGACTTTTATGCAAGTCCTAAAATCTATAAAGTACCTAGGTAATAATTTCAGCAGCGCTTCTGAAATTATTTTTGCACATTAATCAGCAGTGCCTCACCATTAGTTTTCTTCAGCTTCTGTAGATTTTTCCATAGTTTCTACTTCCAGAGTTTGAGACTACATTTAGTCTATGCTGAAATATCATCTAGCACAATACATCTCTGAAATACAAAGCTAAGTTAAATAATGCAAATATCATAGTGTAAACGAGCTCCAAAAAGAATCAGTCTTATTGTAGCAAAACCCTTCTACAATTTAAAACATTTTTCTTTTTGAAATATTTTTCTGAGGGAATTTTGGATCAAGGACAGATGCAATCTCTTAAGATATGATGACTGCTATGATATAAAGCCTCTGAGTTCCTTATTTTGTGTCCTGCTTTCCCTAAGGATATTACCTCAGGAAGGCTCCCTTGGGTTTTTGTTGACAGACCAGGGCAGTCTGATTGGTACCCTTTGAGGTGATTCTGTAGGTATTTACCTTTGTTTGGGAAAGAACTGCCACCAAATTCACCAAAAAGCAGGCAGGCAGCTGGAGACATGACTGCTTTTGCAGGCAGGTCTGTTAAAACTTCAAATTGCTTCTCTTTGCCCAGTAAAAGGATCACAAAAGTGCTTCCTGTAACTTCTGCATCTGAAAAACATTAGGTATCCCTGTAGCATTCTCTACCTGCCCCCCTCTCCCCAGGTTTGGTGTATCTTCTTAAGAAGGACTGAATAAATCTCTAGACCACTAAGGCTGCAGCACACTGGTGAGAGTATTAAATGTGACTCCTAGAGGAACCAGTCTGATTTTTTTCAACAGAGTGTGGGAGACATAAAGCTATCTTTTAATGGGGCTAGCATTTCTCTCCTGCAACCAAAAAGTGCAGATATCTGTTGTTCTGTGTCTTTATTGTTATTCATCATAAAAGATCGTCAAGTTCTGGATGCAGAACTTAAACAATGCTGTTGACAGCTTCTGCTGGAAATTTTTGGAGGACTGCCACACTCATCTGATTTCAGGGGGCAACATTAATGTCAAGAACGAAGGTTTTCAGGATGATTAGTTCCTTGTCCCTAAAATTAGGAAGTCAGAGGTATATTTGCAGCAAATCTGTGACAGAGCTGACCTATGTCCATAAAAACAGTCCATGATGCCAGCGGAGGTCCTCAAAAGGGAGGCTGAATTTTGTGTCTAGCAAAGTATCAAGTACATTGTAACACTGCAGGTGTGTACACACTGAAGTTGCCTTGTTCCCAGCTGATTTTAAGGCATGTATTTTCCTAAAGCTGTTATTCCACCTGAGTCTGCTTCCTCCCAAGCTAGCCCACCGGCAGCAGTGTTTGTCTAAGGGGATGGCCAGAGAGGAAAGAGACAGCCGAGGCATCCCGAGGCTGTGACTGCAGCCAATTGTCTCTCCCCGGGGTATTTATAAGCTGCATACTGGCGGGCAGGGGTGGGCAGTTGGCACCGTGACCTTGGGAGCTGGGGAGCCTGACTAGAATTCCTGGGAGCCACGTGAGCTGGACTGGCAGGAGCAGCTGCAGCCAATGGGGAGGAGACCAGCGCTGGCTGTTCAGATTGAGTTTCACTCCTGTGGCTGGAGATTTTTCTCTCCCTGTCGTGCTTTTCCTCTTTGTTTATGGGACTGGACAGACGAATGCACTGATGGAGCTCTAGCAAGCAAGATGTTTGCCTAGTGGATTTGGGATCCTGCCTTCAGTGCTGAGCAACCACTTCTTGCCATTGCCTACCACAGCTGACATGGCTGGGCTTTTATGGCTCTGGGCCCTCTGAGCACACAACCCGCCCTCTTCTAGTGGGGCATTTTACGTTGTGTTCTCTTGTAAGCACGTCCTTTTTGCTATCCTTAGAGGTTAGTGTATGAGACTTTTTAATCCATGGGAGATGGGGCAGGACCAGACAAAGCAACAGATAGAGAAAGGACTCCATCTTTACCAGTCTAATCAGACGGAAAAGGCCCTGCGAGTCTGGATGAGGGTTTTGGAGAAGTCTGCGGATCCTGCTGGCAGGTTTCGGGTTTTGAGTTGCCTCATCACTGCTCATGCAGAGATGGGCAGATACAAAGACATGCTGAAGGTAAGGTGACCTGGAGATGAATGCATGCCATTGTGTCACACCCACGATGATGGAACGTGGCTGGATCAGAACCTGAACTGGGGGGTGATTTGTGTGTAACAGAAAATGCCAGCTACTGAGCGTGTGTTCTGGGCTGCTGTAATCACTGTGCTCACCAAGAGCTCCAGCCCACAAGATACACAGAATATGATTTTTCACTGGGTCTGCTTCCTCAGGATTCCTGGCTTATTTAAGTTCTGCACTTACTCACGGGAACCTGTCTTGATTATTTCCCAGAAAC